GAAGTTTACACAGACATTATTTGATTGTTGTTATAAAAAAACATCAGGGAGGGGGAGGTGGCGACTCGGGCAAAATTACACAGGCGTGAGTCAAGCCAAGTCGCAGAGGGCGTCATTTTAAATTACGACTCACCCCAAAAATCGTCAAAGAGACACAATGTCGCAAAATTAAACAAGCATAATATGACAGACTTGACGACTTCCAGCCTCCCGAACAAGCCGGTTTCCGAAAGGGCTTTAGTACCATAGACCACATACATATCCTTCGGCAAATTGTACAGAAGTCCGAAGAGTACAATTTGCCACTATGTCTGGCGTATGTGGACTATGAAAAAGCCTTTGATTCCGTCGAAATTTGGGCGGTGCTGCAGTCCCTTCAGCGGTGCCAAGTTGACTGTCGGTATATTGAAGTGTTGAAGTGCTTGTACAGTAGGGCTACGATGGCTATCCGAGTACAGAACCAGAGTACGAAACCTATCCAATTGCAGAGAGGTGTAAGACAGGGTGACGTCATATCCCCGATACTCTTCACCGCTGCATTGGAAGACGTTTTCAAGCTTCTGGACTGGAAAGGATACGGTATCAACATCAATGGCGAGTACATCACTCACCTTCGATTTGCCGACGATATAGTCCTTATGGCAGAATCGCTGGAGGACCTAAGCACTATGCTCAATGACCTCAATAGTGTTTCCCAACGGATAGGTCTTAAGATGAACATGGACAAAACAAAGATCATGTTTAATGTCCATGTCACACCTATGCCGGTAGTTGTTGGGAGCACTAAGCTCGAAGTTGTTGACGAGTATGTTTACCTGGGACAAATAGTCCGACTAGGTGAGTCCAACTTCGACCGAGAGGTCAATCGACGGATTCAACTCGGCTGGGCAACGTTCGGGAAGCTACGACACATCTTCTCGTCAGACATACCTCAAAACCTTAAAACGAAATTGTACAACCAGTGCGTGTTGCCAGTGATGACTTACGGAACTGAGACGTGGTCCTTCACTGCTGGCCGTATGAGGAAGCTCAAGGTCGCTCAGCGAGCTATGGAGAGGGCTATGCTCGGAGTTTCTCTGCGTGATAAACTTAGGAATGAGGATACCCGCAGTAGAACCAGAGTAACCGACATAGCCCAACGGATTAGTAAGCTGAAGTGGCAGTGGGCCGGCCATATAGCTCGAAGAACCGACAACCGATGGGGAAGAAAGGTTCTCGAGTGGCAGCCTCGTACCGGCAGGCGAAGTGTAGGGCGTCCCCCCACTAGATGGAGTGACGACCTGGTAAGACATGCAGGAAGTCGATGGATGCAGGAGGCTCAGAACCGTGCTTTGTGGCATTCTTTGGGGGAGGCCTATGTTCAGCAGTGGACTTGTGAAGGGCTGTAATGATGAATGAATGATATATTTTTAATCTGAAACAAATCAACACTACGTCTCACATCATAAATGTGAAAGTTGAATGGATATTTTTTGTTACTTTTAATATATTTAAAGAATATTTGCTACACATAAACCATATCCTGGGTAAGCACCTAGAATATGTACTTTGAATTGCATCATTTTCAGGGAATCGGAATCTGCATCGATAAAATAATTTTAACATGGAAAAGGCCATGGCTGTTAGTAGGTAATTAATACAAGCAAATATGTGAAATTTCACCTCTCAATGTAGTAATACATAATTTAAAAATTTTGTACAGCCGACTTCAATATAAGTTATTAAGAATAACTCAAAGACTATTGGTCTGACCTTGATCAAATTCATATGGGACCACACGAGAAGTACCAGCTTTCAAATAAAAAAAAATCATCGAAATCGGTTTTTTAATACCCAAATACTGGCAGGTTTTATAAATCGTCAACCGATCATGCAAGAGGCTAAAATAACTGGAGAATCCTGCCACATATGGTCACACAGTATACCACTTAAAGGTCCATAGACCATACAAAGAGCATAACTAAATGATTTCTCTGTCTACGCTAAAGAATTATAGACTTATAGTCCGTTCATCTTAACTTGATGCGTGAGTGATTGGTAGCACTGTTTACTCAGTCGCCACCTTTCTTTTAGTTTGATCGTTTGCTATCTGTGTGCTCTTTAGCTCTTTAATAATTTAATCTTAGTTTTAAAAATGCCGAAAGTGGTAAAAAGTGCTAAAAGGCAAACTATTATTCAAATTTAATTTTGTGAAAAAGAAAAGGCTGAAAACAAGCTGATTGTCCCATTGCAACAAGTTCGTGCATGCCATGCGGCCATGACCGGTATGTTTATAGAGTGACCAGTTACAATGATTTATACTAACCTTTACAGTACCGCATGGTGGTGGGTCATATTTTAAATATGTTTATTTATTTCGCTAGATGATACTAAAATATTTGTATGTCAGTATATTATGTATATTTTAGTAACATCACTTACTAAAATATTAAAATTTTATAAAGTAGTAATATAAAATTGCATTTGTGTAATGATTACAGATGTATTCGAATCTACTGTAACCCGAATTTTAAGAGAAGAAAGAGAGACCAGTTCAGTTTCAAATTTGGGTGTGCCTGGTCCGTCAAAAGTAACAACACCTGGAAAAAAAACGACCAAATCGTGATAAGAAGGTCAAGATCGATGACTTCGATGCTTGTGCAATTCGACAAAAAAATATGTCATTTTACGCTGTACGAAAAGAAATTCCTACGTTAAATAAATTACTTATCGAATTACGAGATGAAATAAGTTTTGAAGGTGGGCATACTACACTATGGAAAATATTGTTACGAGCTTGGGGTTCGAGACAATTAAAAACTGCCGATTGAATTACCAAAATTGACACTTTAATTACACAACACTAATTACAATATAAAACCACACTAATAATAAAACACAATCACTTTAGTTAGCAGTTATTTCGCTTCGAAGTACTCTCTTGTATCGCCAATTCAATACTCCTTCGTCGTCGTCGTGGTCTATACCGGCCTTATATAGGGCCTCAGATAGTTTCCAGAACCTTCTACTGTAGCGACATCTAGAATGTTCGAGTACATATCGGTCCCGAAATTTCTGGAAGGATCTCGACTCTTCTAATTCTGCTACTCGACACTAGAGGGCGCTAGTGTAACTAGTGTTACCATGTACAAGACATTAATAGTGGCGCGCAACAATATTAAAACGACTCGGATATAAACATAAAAAGTGTCAATCTAAACGAAAAATGTTAATAGAGCGAACAGATATAGCTGCCTGGCGATTTAATTATTTGAATGAAATCAAAAAATATCGAGAAGAGGAGCGGACTATTGTCTATTTAGACGAAACATTTATTCATTCTTCATAAGGGATGCAAAAATGTTGGACGAAACATTTATTCATTCCTCATAAGGGATGCAAAAGTTGGAGTCTGAAGAAGGTGTATTGGTCAGAGATTCTGGTACAGGTAGACGATGGATAATTGCACACGCTGGAACTACAGACGGCTTCATTAATAATGCGTTACTGCTATTCAAGTCACAAACAAAATCATCCGACTGCCATGACAACATGAATAGCGACAACTTTATAAAATGGCTGGAAAAAGGAGTTTTACCAAACCTACCACCTAATTGTGTAGTAACCGACCATTACAACGATAAAAGGTGTTGTCAATGTCAAATCTTTATAGTGGCTGGGAAGTTAGGTGCGAGCGTTAGTAATTAAAAGAAAACTTGGTGGTGGCTCATATTACATGATGTACTAAGATAAGGCTCAAAATTTTATTAGTGACGGCTTGAAGAAGAAAAATTCGACAACCGCACAAGATTCTTAGAGTAAACTTTCTCTAAAATTCTTAGATAAACTTAGAAATGAGGATATCCGCAGTAGAACCAGAGTGACCGACATATCCCATCGGATTATTAAGCTGAAGTGGCAATGGGCCGGCCATATAGCTCGAAGAACCGACAACCGATGGGGAAGAAAGGTTCTCGAGTGGCGGCCACGTACCGGTAGGCGAAGTGTAGAGCGGCTATTTTATGGTGTGACAACCTGGTATAAGACATGCAGGAAGTTGATGGATGCAAGTGGCTCAGGACTGTGCTTTGTGGCATTCTTTGGGGGAGGCCTATGTTCAGAAGTGGACTTGTGAAGGGCTGTAATGATGATGATGATGATGGTACTTATCCAGTAGTTTTTATGGTACTTATTCAGAATTTGTGGCAGTTTTTGTCCAACAAAAATATAAATGTTATATACGATGCAATCTAATTTTTTTTTTCGGTTTTAGTTTTTTTTTTATTATGGTTTTAATAATCTAAAATGGGATCAAAAAACAGTTCTCATTCTAAACCTGTAATAGAAATTATTATAAAGTTAAAATGAGGACTGTATGGTAATTAAGTTATTGAATTTTTTAATAATGTATATATTAGTAAATTAATTATTAAATATGTAAACAAAATTATTGTAAAGTAAAAATTAATAACTAATAAAAAAAATATTAAATTTCCACATTGTTTCATTTGTATTAACCTAGTTTTATTTTCAATATAATAAAATTAATTTTGCAAGTGGCTATTATATGGGACATTCTTTGCCTGGTATTAGCTGCTTCAAATAAAAAAAAGAAATGTCAAATATCATTTTACTACAACTAATCTGGACGCAGAAGCTAAGTCGAGTAGGTTTAATTCGTGAGATATCTGTCTGATTCGTGTAGAATCTACTAGTTAGTCTGTGCAGAAGGCCTAGAACCCAGAGCCGTAAAGCCAGTTTAAAAAAACCTTAGGATAAGGCAATAAACATTTATTAATTATTAACTCATTTTCTGATTTTTCATCAAAACTTTTATGTGTTTAGTTTATCTTTCGTTGTTTGCAGTTACTCTTGGGTAAATAAGAATACATTGTTTTAATTTAGGCTAAAATACCAATTCACATTTCACATTCATTCATACTGTCGGTTGCATTATTGCTTACAAACAACTGCAAACCATTGAGATATTATTTAGTACATAATAGTTCAATGCTGCAAACATGGTTAGTAAAAGAAAATCTTTGGGCGTTGACGAGAAGGTCTTTGTGATCCGTGCAATAGAAAAAGGCGAAAAACAAATTGATGTTGGACGACGTTTTGGGTTCAGTCCTTCTACTGTGGCCACCATTTGGAAAAATAAAGAAAAAATACTTCAGGCAGAAAGAGACGGAAAATCTTCTAAGAAATTAAGAAAACCAAAATTTGAAGATGTAGATCAAGCAGTGCTGACATGGTTAAACAGACAGCGCCAAAATAATGTGTATATTTCTGGGCCATATATTAAAGCTCAGGCTGAAAAATTTGCTTCTCAACTTGGGACCACTGACTTTAAGGCTTCTGAAGGATGGCTTGGAAAGTTTACACAGCGTCACAAAATTAACCGCGGGAAAACTAATGGAGAATTGCAAAATGTTGAAATGGTTTTAATTAACGATGAAGAAACAGGTGAACAAATGATTGAATCTGTGATAAAAGAAGAAAATCTAAAAGAAGACGAACAAGATCAAATGGATGATCCTAAACCACCACCAAATATCCAACAAGCACTTGATGCAGCTAAATTATTGGGCGAGTTTTTATTATTCTATGAAGATGATCCCACTGCATCGGAATACATGGATACAATTTATAAAAAAATAAAAACCAAGTATTGGCTTAGCAAAAAATGTAAGACCAAGAGGAATTTATAGCATAATAAAAGTTTTAGAAATCGACATATGGCGAGGATGCCATACACCTAAGCGAGTAATCTCTAAAGCTCAAAGTAGATGACGCCTAGTGAGGTTGGAGGTCATCTTATATGCCCATTTCCATTTCCATGTAAATACTGATTATGGTGTTTATTTTGTGAAATTAAAATGGCTCAGTGTTGTCAATACACAGAATACTAATACCGGAATTCTAAAGCTAAGCAACTTATGTTGATGCATTATGTATTGTTGGTTTTTCATAGTAATTATATTAGACAATATATTGTAAATATATTTTATTTAAAAGAAATGTCCCGCTGGGTTTCTTGTTGGGTTCTTCCCAGGACAGAGGTTTTCTTCAAACCAGCGCTAAAAGTACTATATTAAATAAAAATTATTTAATTGTATTCTGAAGGCTTTTCCTGCAACCCTACATTCAATATTAAGACAGTAAATTATAAAATATATATTTTAAAACATTTTCTTTGTGACTCTACATTTTTATAAATCTAACATACTAGAAACCCCAAATAGTCTTAGTTTATTGAAAGTGCTACTTCTATGTATAATTTATATTATACAGCATCAAATAAATAATGAGTTGTACTGATAAAAAAAATTGCGCTCGGCGCTGGCTATCGTAATCCACTACCGAAAAGAGATTTCTTGAGTTGTTGTATACTTGTATATACAACCTTAAATATGACATAGAAAATGCCAATGTTTCTAGCAAGTGTTTAAATTTGTTGGACCAACTTCAAAAGTTTGTTTGGAGGTGTCCTGAGTGCAGCTGCAAACTACCTAAGACCAATAATACACACATTCCAGTTGACCCATCTATTCTGAAATCGCTTTCATACAGTATTAATATTCCTGATACTGTCTCTAATGGCCCCCACACACTATGTTCCTCGCGCTGTCCACCGCTCTGCTCCCCGCGCTGCTCCTCGCTCGTTGCCGCGATGTTGCCCTCTCTGCCCACCACGAAGCAAATACAAAGAGGAGATGGCATAAGCAACTGTACACTGTGATTCTAACTAGGTCCTGACATCATCACAGTGGGAGTGGCTTTACTTAGTATACTGTCAGCGTTCGTCCTGTGCGCCTATGTGTCGAAAATCGCAAATCGGTGTAGAAGAAAAGGTTTAAGTGTTGTGTTTTATCTTTTAGAAACTACTCAGAGAGACGCTCTGATGCTATGGATGGCATCGCATTTCATTTGTAAGTAATTTTATATCTAATTTATTAAGAAAATTAAAAAGGTTCTAGAAAAATTCTGCGTCGGCTTTCAAATATAATTAAATATTCAACACTGGACGGCAACACTTTTAAACTAACTTTGTGTTAAGCTGGTGATACACATGCCCGTAGCTTGCACACTAGCATACCAGCCCCTTGCACGTGCCAGCTACTGTCATGTGTATACGCTAACTTGCATGCCCGTTGAGGGAGGGGACGCGGGGGGTTGCCAAACTGGCACGTGTGAACAGACGCGACAGCTACGGGCATGCCAGTAGCTGACTCGTTGTGGTCGTAAGCGCACGTTATTGTTTTTTTTCGAAGGTCAAGTTTTTTCAGCTACACATTCAATTGCTAGTACACGATTTTGTTTAATTCACTTCGATTGTTATCCATTTTTGGCACGCAAGAATAGGTACCGAGTGACACTTACGAACTGTTCTGTGTATACGCAATGGTAATACTGGCATGCAAGGGCACAACTTGCATGCCAGTATTACATGCAAATGTATCCGCAGTGTGCCAGTTACTCGTACATGCCAGTAACTTTCATGCCAGCTACTTTCCCGATTTACTGGCATGTGTATCCCCGCCCTAATGGGAACTAAAAATAGAAAGGTACGTAGAGCTCAGTATTGGTAAAATAAACATACGAAGGTGTTGCAATTTGTTTTGTATTCAGTCCTCAAGAATTTTTAATCACCAAAATATTATTTTTATAGTTTTATAATCATTTGTGAACAGGCTGCCATCTACCGTCAAGGTAGCTAAACTACATTGCAACGTCGATATGGAACGATGCGAGTAATTTTACTATTTATCGGTAGATGGAAAATAGTAAAGGCTTAATATCCCCTCACCCCGCAAATTACCACGCGTTGTCGCATAGTGAAATCTAATTACAACACCTCCTCTTTGTATTTGCTCCGTGCTTGTCAGCAAACACACTGCTCTAGTCGCGAAATTGATCACGACGCTCCGCACTAGGTTGCTTGCGTTTGCAACACAATGGATTTTAAAACTGGCAGCGTATGCGCTATATGCATATTTATTAGAAGTAAATAATTATATTAATGTCATAAAAAGAAATATACGGCGTTATTCTAGCCAGCAGATATGGTGGATGATATCTATTAATCGCAATAGAACGACGCTTCCGTAACGTGCGCTCGATTTAGACTGCGTTCGCGCTATTATGTGGCAGACAAAATAGGGAGCGATGGGCATGATAAGGAGCATGCTATATCAAAAGTAGTACACTGGTTTAACGTTAATAATTTGCTGTTGAACGGTAATAATACGAAATGTATTAAATTCACCACACCTAATGTTAAACAGGTGAATACCAATGTGCTTTTAAATGGGGAGGAGCTGAGTCTTGTTGAATCCACTGTTTTTCTCGGAATTACAGTTGACGCGAAGCTTCAATGGGGCCCTCATATATCTAAACTAGTTAGCAAACTTAGTTCGGCAGCATATGCTGTAAAAAAGATTAGTAGCCTTACATGTGTTGAAACAGCTAGATTAGTTTATTTTAGTTATTTCCATAGCATAATGTCATATGGGATTTCGCTTTGGGGTAATGCTACTGACATTCAAACTATCTTTGTTTTGCAAAAGAGAGCCATAAGAGCAATTTATAACCTAGGTCCGAAGGAATTGCTTAGAGAAAAATTTAAAGAAATAAATATATTATCTTTGGCATCTCAATATATTTACGAGAATTTAATGTATGTACACAAAAACAAAAACAGTTTTATTAAACATAGTGATGTACATTCTGTAAATACTAGGAACAAGCACAAGTTAGTTATACCAGTTATTCGACTCCAAGGGGTCAGTAATTCCTTCATGGGAGCAATGTATACGCTTTTACAACAAAGTCCCAGAAATTATGCAGACTTTTTCTATAAAAAGGTTTAAATTATTTATTATACAAAAATTGTCTAGTAAGTTACTCGTGGTCTAGTGCTGCCGTTGTTAGGCTTGACACTCTAGGCGTGGTTATGCTATGGATGTCGTCTAGTCTGACAGTCAATCGTTTTAGTAAGCATAATTCACATGTCTGTCATGGTCACGGTCACATTTTTAGGGTTCCGTACCTCAAAAGGAAAAAACAGAACCCTTATAGGATTACTTTGTTGTCCGTCTCTCTGTCTGTCTGTCAAGACCCTTTTTCTTTGGAACGCGTAAAGGTATCAAGCTGAAATTTATATCAAATACTCAAGTCTACTGTCCCTTAGATCTGTGAAAAAATCAAACTTCTAAGCCAACGCAATCAAAAGATACAGCCGTTTATGCCGCAAATTTTCGACATTCGCAAGGGAATCAAAACCTACAGAGTGAACTAAGAATCTTGGAATTTGGTACGAAGCAACGTTTTATAGCACAGGTAAAGGAAAAATTGCGAAAAGCATAAATTTTCAGCAGACATCTCCATCCGCAAACCTCCATAGACCAGAACCACAAGATGCGTCAAATTAGGCGCAGCGAGCCCGCAGATCAATCACATGCAATACCGTAAGCAGCAGTAAGCACCGATGCAACTATCATACGAATGGCGCCCTTCATAAGACCCATATAATCCCTATTGACTTTGGTTTCCTTACCCTAATCTGAAAGATATCCGACGTATAACGCAACGCAACGTCGTAGGGATGCACAATGTCCACAGTCAAACCGTATTGCTACAACAAACGCCCTAATACCTGCACTACAACGATATGCCTATGACATATCGGTTATCGAGTCCAATTTTATCGCGGTCTCGGTCCGGATAAAAAAGTCTAAGCGACACAAAATTTATCCTTTTCAAATCCCATTTTTTCTTTCATATACCTAATACTTTTACATATTTGAGACTTCCCATATATTTGTTTTATTTCACAGAGCTTACAATCGTGTCTTTTTATATATGGGACTTTGTCAAGCTATCTATCGATTCATCAAATCTATCAAACTATAGCTTAGAACCATCTATGTGACCCTATAAGTAACCTATAAAAATTTAATCAAATTCAGTCAAGCCGTATAGAAATAGAAGAATAACGAACATACGCACACCGGAATTTTATATAAAAAGACTAGCTGTTCCTCGCGAATTCGCCCGCGTGTTATTTGGGGTTTAAATTTTTTTGCGCGGAACCCTAATTCTTTTTCGAAAATAAAAGTAGCCTAAGTTACTCCTTGTGACATCAGCTATATGCCAGTGAAAATCCCGTTAAAATCGGACCAGCCATTTCGGAGATTAGCCGGAACAAACAGACAGACAGACAGACAAAAGCTTTAAAAATTGTATTTTTGTTATTAGTACCGTATATACTTTCATATGCATTTAGTAAAAAGCTGTAATTTTGACATTACAAACAGACACATTAATTTTATTTATTTGTATAGATTTGGTTAAGTTTTTTTTTTTATATAGGATAGGGTGACAAACGAGCACACAGTCCACCTGATGGATCGACCCGGTTGAATATGGACTACGTTTTCAAACAATACCTATGTATGTTTTGTATGATGAGTGTTGAGATCCAGACATTTTCTTTTTATTGGAATGGGTGACAAACGAGCACACAGTCCACCTGATGGTAACTGGTTGCTGTGGCTCATAGACATCTACATCTATCTTCGATTATGAATCAAAATGCAAATACGTTGTCACCCGTGAGGACTAAGATGGAATGCCTCGTTTCCAGTAAAAAGGGTCTCCGGTTCTCTACACTAACCATACGAAACACAGCAGCGTTAAGCTGCTATTT